CATGTGGACGAGCATTATCGTGCATTAGGTGGAAGTTTTCACCAACAGCACCAGCAAACGGACGGACGATAGGTAGAAGAATGGTGTCGAGGTACTGTCGAGCTGTGAGGGAGCGATTTGGAAAAACGAGATCGGTTCTGCCGCCGATCATGATTCCGCCTCATAGCATTACTGTACTGTGTGTAGTTTTCAATATTGATAATGTGAAATATTGAGTAGAATTTCTCTATTCTGACAAACCGGGTATGCAACTGGAAAATTCAATATCTGATGATTGCATTTTCGACTTCAGAACATGCAGAACTTTTTATGAAAAATAACTTTTTTTCGTGCAATTATTAATAAACATTTTCTTCATATGTTGTGAACTTGAATAGAAACACTGTATAAAGAGCTTAGCCCTTAACTACACCCTACATTTTTCCATACGAATATAATATATTGTGACCTAAATTCACTTCATTCACTCTCGGAGATTCTTGAGGGTTTCCCCATGAAAAATCATCGTATCGTAATCTTTTTACCTAGTTACAAGTGCCACCCTTTCCAGGTCCATCCAGAATACAAATCGAAACCCACTAATGATTGTTCATTCACCCTGGATGAAAGCTATTTTTGCCGAAATTTGTCAGGCTGCAAGAACTCAGACAGCATTTCGTATTGTGCAAACGGCTCAACTCTGGCGACACGAACTCCCACCCTCTTTAAACCGCCTCCCAATTTATCTGGGACGTGGGGATCGAGCAGGGATGACCGCACCTGGAGATAGAAAGCAGAAACTTGGTATAATGGCCTTCTGCGACAGAAGCACCTGCTTCTTTCAGCTGACTTTTGATTTTTGTCGAGGTGGCAGTGAGATCAAAAGGGAATATTTACCTGAGGACAGAGTGGGACGTTGGGGTTTTTTCATTTGACTTTAAAAGTTACAGTGATTTCGAAAACTACACCTCACTTTATTTGAAAAATATATCACAACATGTTTCGCTAGCGCAGTAGCTTTGTCAAGTGATTTGAATACTTGTTTTTCTTGCATTAAAATTTATATACTACAGGTAACCATGATTAAAATCACCTATTCTGCCAGTTTCACCACTTTGGTCAAACTGGCAGAACATTTAGGAATCGAATCCAGGAGCATCATACGAGCTATGTAAATAAGAAAACAAAGTCAACATATTCAAATCATCTTCTAGAAAAAAATCATATCTTCAACGAACAGTTCGAAATTTTGCACATAGAAAATAAAGGTTTGAAACTGAATCAATTGGACGCAATGGAAATTAATAAACTTAAAAATTCAAACATTCTAATGAATGACCAACTAGATTTGAATAGATCACCATTATTGAACTTGTTTTCTTAAAAACCGAGAAAAAATTATTATTGATGTAAATATGAGGTAATATGCTTCAGGTGATCATAATTAAACAATGTGGCAAACTATTCGAAAAATACAAAAATCGGGTAACAAATATAAAGAAACTATAATCTACGATGGTGAAAATGAAGTTTCAAGTACTGATGTGGCCAANCTTTATTCCTGGCAATCAAATCTGGCTTTCTTGGTTGTGAAAATATTCGACAGAAATGGGCATTTTCAAATAATGATTTTTGTTGTATCTTCTATGTTCACAGAGATATGAATTGCTATCGAAATATTTCTCTCACTTTTCTACAGGGTGATGTGCGAATTGGGCAATTTCCAATATCAAAAATTCAAATACGGATCTTTTGTTTCAGTAGCAATTTTTTATGACCAGTGTTCATTTAACTTTCTGAAATTCAACTCATCTAGATATTCCTGAGAGTTTTGTTAATTCGATGATAATGAGCTGAATTATCGTTCTTATGACGATCCTGATAATCAAATAAAACCATGGTACTGCTGAGTAGCTAGGTGAAATAGGTTATTGTGAAATCTTTTTTCATATTTCGTCGTAATTGCTCATTATTTTCATTTTTTAATTGTTTGTTTATTATTGATATTTCTTTTATTTTTTTCGTTAAATCTATAATATTAGTTTTCAATTGAGGTTCGGATAATTTATTTTCTATGAAAATTAGCATAACGAACAAAAAATACTAATATTTTTCAGTTCAATGTTCTTTAAAAGCTTGTTTTTTAGTTTTTTCAAACTATATTTATTTTTTACTTTTCAGTTCGATATTTTTCAAAAGCGTGTATTCAGTTTTTTAAACTATATTTTTTATTTTGATTTTCTTTTGAACAACTTATCGAGGAGGTTACATACAACGCCATCTGTCCGCGAATAGATCAAGAAATATCAAGAAGGTTACCTACAGCGCCATCTGCCCGCGAATAGGTCAAGAAATATAAAGTAGGTTACATGCAGCGTCATCTGCTCGCGAATAGATCAAGCACTAATGACGATAATTCTGTCAGTACAGATCCCGAGCTTGACAGTTACAAGCAAACATTCATACAAACAATCATACATACATACCGGTGAAGCTAATATAAAGCGTATAATGAGAAAACTAATCAGTACAGTTTATTGTATGATTTTCACTATAAAAGGCTTTACGAAAACCGCGACACGTATTTTGCTATACAATAGCTTCCTCAAGCATAAACTCAAGCTATTATATAGCGAAACACGTGTCGCGGTTTTTGTAAAACCCTTTTATAATGAAAATCATACAATAAACTGTACTGATTACTAACGTACGTATTCAAAACCACTTTATTGTGAGGTTTTACAGTTTTACAAAAACGCAAAACTTGTTTCGCCGTACAATGGCTCCTTCTGGCGTGTCTTTACTAACTATATTCTACATATTCCATGAAAAATTTATGATAATCTGGCGTCATGAAGTGATGACTGAATAGATGATGCTGATGATGCCAAGTTGGTCGGCGAAATAAGTTTCGAGAAAAGTATCAAGTTTCTAGTACAAGAAACAAAAATTTTGTTCACTCATTCATCCGAAAATTCGATATGGAGGGAAAACGTTTCCTTCCTCTACTTTTCATCCTATCAGAAATTTGACAATTTCTTGGTCGAAGCAATTGAAACCTAAGCCACAAGCCTTTACGTAAGTGGAGCCACAGAAAGTGGGTCTATCTGCATACAAACTGAGGCGCAACAGCATCTGCATTTTGTTTTAGATCATTTATACTATTCAGTTGAAATTTGAAAGAAACAAGATATCCAAAATAGTTTATTTATAATTCAATTCACAAATATTCAGTTAAATAATACTACGAAAAAGTCTTGCTGTAAAATATATCTTATTCGAAACTATTGCGAAGTCTTCCTTGGGGACCACGCATCCTTAACAGGATCATAGACATATGTTTTCAGCTCACCATTTTTGAAAATAGTGAAACATTCATTACTAGGATCCTCTGGTATATGACAAGGTCCTATTTTTCCCTGCGATTCATCCAGGTCTTTTTGTGAAGCTTGTCCTTGTCCACTTGTACTGCCTTCATTTCCAGAATTTCTGTTGCTCAGAGTTGGTTGTAAAGGCCTCTGCTTCTCAATACTACTTGGTGAGCTACTACCTTTCCCTATATGGTTATCGATATATTGAGCATTGATGAACCAGAACGGTTGGTTCTCCCTGGGCCATGATGCCACTGTCTTCGTCACATTAGCTTCTTCTCTGGTATCTGCAGGTATTGTGGTAGAATTACCATTTGCACCGAATCTGCTTGGGAACTGGCCTCCTGTGGCACTTGAAGTACCATCTGAAGTACCATTAGCAAATCTACTGGCTAACTCAGGTACACCGATGACCCTGGTTCCAGCGAATGAAGGTCTATTTTGGGCCATGGTTGTGCTCAGAATGGAAATAGCGAGTAGTATACACTTCTGTAATGAAGAAATATGATTTAGTGACTACAATCAATCACGAATCAATCACAAATTGATCTTTGGTTCATTATCAACAGCAATGAAACGCTTCATTTTCACATGATACTTTTTACCACATATATCACAGATGAATAATGAATAATAGAAAAATTAATATAGGCGAGAAAAAAGTAGCTTACACCAAAAATATCTGGGTTGACCTCAACAGTTTTGAAAAATAATTTTACTCCACTCTTCCTTCAGAGAAAATCTTTTCCACTTTTGATCATGGTATGTATTCAATCACAAAAGGTTTTTCCTCACTTCAGAATCTTTTCACAAAGCGAAAGGTGAGTCAGGCAGTTAATGAATGAAGATAGTGAAATTATAGGCAGGTGTTCATTGAATATAAAATTTTATTCAGCTGAAATGTTTCATCTGAAGTTCCATTACAATATTACAGTAACTCATACGGAGAGGAAGCAAATCACATTTTGGAAGGCCTCCATTGCAAAGCCTCAGTTAATCAGATCCCGAATGAGTTTTGCGGAACCACCCATCTTTAACTGGATCATAAATATACTGACGAATCACTCCTCTATCTCCATAAATAAAGAACGAAGTCGAATTCACGGGTTTCAAACAAGGCACAAGTCTCCAATCCTCTTCACTGTTGTTTTGAACTTGTGATATGCCAGGCTGTATCCTATTTCTTAAGGTAGGATAGGAAGCTTCCTGTCCCTGACTACTGTCTTGGAAGTTGTTTCTAGTTCCAAGAGGATCTCTTTGACTTTCAATTAGTTGGGCGTTCACCAACCAGAATGGTCGGTTCTCTCTGGGCCAAGTTTCTAGCCTCTTCACCAAATTCTCATCACCTCTTGCATCTACCGGGATTCTCAAGGTGGAAGAAGTTTCATTTGAGCTGAATCTACCAGCAAACTGGAGGTTACTATCAGAAGTGCTGCCATCTGTGGTACCGTTCGTGAACCTACTGGCCTGATCTGGTACCCCTATAACCCGGTTGCCCGCGAATGAACCTCTTTGGGCAAAGGTAGTGCTGAAGATGCAGACGAGAAGAAGAGTAAGTTTCTGAAACAAAGGAACACTGATTTCTTCAGTCATCTAGAAGGAAAGTTATAATCATTCTCTAAGTCGATTGCTAGAACAGATATTGTAGAAACGCAAGGTCGATAGTTGAGCCTAGAGTTCAAAAACAAGTAATTCGTGGTCTAACACCAAATAGTGATTTTTTGTAGGACTTATATAGCAATGGATTCGTGGTTCAGCCCGACATTAGTGATAATACCTATGGTGAATCAAAATAGCACTATTGAGTGCTATTGTTTGTCTGGTTAACAGTTACTGGGGCGTGATTTTGTCCAAATTGACGGACTATTAGAAGTTCTTCTGAGTTAACTGATGCGTTCACTAAACAAATAAAGTTTCTCCGCGGAATGTTTGGTTCACAGACTGGGGATTGTTGCAATAATTATTGAACAACCTGATTTCCTGTATGAGAATGATTTCTGTTCGACACAAATATCCATCTATGAACTTTTCTATCCAATCTACATATCATCATTTGTGATTATTAACATCAAATTCAATCATTCGAGCGAGTAATGGCCATTTTTCCTAAATAGAACACTATACTCATTCTATGACTTTTGAGAGGAGTATTTCAAAAACAGATTTGTTTGTGAGAGGTACTTCGAATCTGACTGTCATCGGATATAACGAAAAGTAACCTGTAAAAGCGATCAGAATATTTCTCTATTTATGCAATTGGATTCAATTTAGATTTGAGTAGAATTAAATATCTGTCAGAGATATGCAGGAAACTGATCAGTGTGATATGGAGCAATTTGTGGTTCTTATCACTTTCTTTTTGTTAATCGGTGGAAAACAATGTGAATGAAATAAAGGAAATAGTTGAGAAATTAAGGTATACATATAATGAGTAAAGAAGTGAATTATACTGTGAATAAATCGATTTCAATCCGAAATATTTCACATTGAGATCTTGTGGTTTCTATCAGTAGAAAAGGTCAAAGATCATGAATCTTCGCGGTTTATTAACTTGTTTTGTTTGTGTATGAAAATGGTATGTTTATACCGATATGAAATGAATATGTGAGGGGGATTCAACGGAGAGTTGTTTTGTGAGATTATCTGATAGAAAAGCAATTTTGTTGACAAATAACGTTCTTGGTGAACAAAACAATGCATGGCTATCAGAAATATGGGTATTTTGAATTATTCGAAAGTATGATATGAGATTCATAGAATCAAGCATATGAAGACACAACATTTTGAGGAGATCTTACTTACGATAGAAGCGTTAGATAATATAATTGATAAATCTTAAATCAGTAAAGTAAATATTAGTTTTGAGGGCACCCGGCGATTTTGAAAAAATTTTTGAGTGTACCTACGTATTTTGATGCGTAGATTACGAATCCGACAGAAAAAAGCGGCGCTCTACCTTATTTACAAAGTTACGACCCTTCAAAGTTCAGAAAAAGGCAACTTTTCAGCCTTCTTTTTCACAAGATAAACCATCCAAAAATACAAGCATTTTTTCACTAGGTCATCCTTACACCTTATTTCTCGTTCTTTGACACTTTTCACTTCAACAACTAACATTTTTCCAATAAAAACGTTAAACAAAATGTACGGAGCTGCTTTTTGGTTATACATCTATGTATTTTACGTTTTTAAGTTTGATGGCATAGTTGGTACGACTGATGCTGTCAATATTCCTAAAGTAATTCAAATGTTTTTTGCCTTCATTTTTCGTGTTTTTCCAATCACTCACGTCAAACTAAAAATCCAAATCTACGAATTTGAAATAGTAGGCGGCGGCAAATACCAACCGCTTTTTTCTGAAATGTCACTAGTAACTAACCTA